TCGGGGGGGTGGAGAGGGGAGACAGAGGGATGATGCCTACCATGCAGTGGAGACACAAGGAGTGGGGTGGGAGGCAGCTTGTCCCCAGGAAAGCCCGAGCTCCATCCAGGACATCGCCCCTGGGCTCTTCTATGGACCGTCCATAACCCACAAGCTCGCCCTGGGAGCTCAGCAGTGGAAACTTATGGAGGGCCCCAAGGAGGACACTGGTTATAGCCCAGGTCTGGATGGGCCAGCAAGTAGAAGGATGGAGCAGAAGACCCTGCAAAGTCCTTTCCTCCTGGTGCTTTTCCCCCCATTTGCTGGAAGGATGCTACTGCCTTCTGACCAAGCCTGGATCCTGAAGCACACCATCCCTGCACGTGCCACGGACACCGAGGCCTTCACTGTTCCCAACCCACCAGCATCTCTGCTGCAGCGCTGCTGCCGAAGAGCTGGGGGAAGATCTGGGCAAACCCAGCAGTGGTCATGGACCTCTCACCATCGCCATCAGGGAGTGCTCCCGGGGGAACATTTTCTCTTCCCGGTTGGACGCACCATCCCAAGGTGGCAATCAACAACCCAAAAGGGGAATTGCCCCAGACGGTTGCGGGCAAAGGTTGAGCAAAGACTGGAGATCTGAGGAGCAGAAGTGGTCGGTGGGCGGCAGGACATGAAGGCCTGGAGGATGGTTATGACCTCTGAGGGACCTGCACGTGTCACCAGCACAAACATTTCTCAGAGAGGATGTGGAGTCGATCCAACTCTTCCACCTACATCCTCCTTGCCAACACCCACTGCCCCCTCTCCAGGTGCCCCTCACCTCCCTTGTCCCTCGACCCACAGCATGGCTCCATCCCAAGCGATTCACCATGTTCCCTCCCTGCACAACCGCACTTGGAGGACGGCCATACGCTCCGCCGGTGCAAGAGACAAGCGTTGTCTGGGAAACCACGGATGCAACAACCACATCCCACCTTGGGGGAGGTTGGAGTGTGCCCAGCGCACGAGCAAAGGCTGGAGGCACAGGTCCATCAAGTCACAAGTTGGAAGGAGACTTGAAACCCATGGAGCATATGGTGCAACCAGGGGTTATAACCTTCAACCCTGCTTTCGGTCCCTCCCTCTCCAGCCCGCCTGGCCAAGTGCCTCCTCACCTAGGTGCCCGGTGACGCGCTCCACCAGCGCCT